GGACAGGGCTTATGAACAGATTAGGCTTTTCCAAACTCGAACCTCAGATTTGTGTGCACAAATGCTCAAATGAACAAACCCAGCCACGAGTTAAATACCCGACGTAAAATCACTTGCCATTTGCACAGCGTTTCATTACACAAACCGTTTGTCCGCCTATCTACCCCTTCGGTGAGTTCAATAATTTGAGTGTGAATGTTAGCAAACGAAGAGAGAATATTGTAGACTACAGAATAAACAAAATGAAATAAAACTTGCGGGGAAAGTGTTATATAAGTCTGTAATTTCGATTTATTGGGTGTTCACAAGTACAGTGGTCTCATCTGAAGTGGTAAACAACGAAACTACGAAAACGACAAAACTACGAATGCACTTTTAAAGGGATAACACAATTCGTATGAGATCTATATTCCACAATAAAAAACATTTCTTAAAAACTTACAGAAATACAGAAAAAACCTACGGCGGTTACCACATATTCTGGAATCTGTTCTTGCCATCGGAGCACGTGACCTCCAAAGATGTAGTAGATGTAGTAATTGATTATATCAAAAAACCTAACTTTAAGAAAAAAACAACAGGTACTAACATAAAATGTAGGGATGGATTTATTAACCAATGGTAAAGATGGGGAAATTGTCGTTTACCCCCACTAAAGTCCATTTCAAGACCAAAATGAGTTGTTGTTATGCCCTTAACAAATTTGAGGGCTTTTACTAGAAATGTGCTCATCTTGTTATTCATGCACAGATATGTTTTAGATGTATTTATAAATAGTGCCTTTTTTTTTGTATTTCAGAGGGAGAATGGTAACCTTTGGTACAGTTAAGAACCATGATACAGCTAGTCAAAGTTCTGGTTTCAAAAGGGGACCATTGGTGTGATTTTTTTCAGAAGTCAAAGGAGGAATCAGTACGCTGCAACTGTGGAAAATAAAACAAATATGAAAAGCTAGTAAAGACGAAAAATGACGTGATTTCAACAGGGTAATCGGGCCCGTAGCCAGCAGTTTGAAAAGGCTGGTTCTTTTTCTGAAAAAATAATATACATTTTACAATGAACCCTCCCTGTACTTACATCAAATTTTATCAAGAATGGACATTTTCCCGGCAAAAAGGGCTTTTTATTGGTGAATTGGGGTTTTCGGCGTGGGCAAATTGCATCATGTTGCTTGTCAGCAGTGAAAGGATGGAAAGGGATGCTTTATCAAATAATCTCGAATGATCAAACAATTTCGAATGACAACGCGATGAAGCTAAAGATTATTATGAAGTTAAGACACTGTAAAGAGCAGCATCGGGTTACTGCATGCAGCGCCAGACTTCATTATGCGCAAAGAAAAGATCCATCCACTTGCTATAATTCAACCACAGTCTTCTCAATGTGGTTCAGGTTTGTCTGTTTTCCATATCTAAAACACAATAGAATACATCATAGCCTTTCATAGGCATATCGCGTTTGCAACCGTTGACGCAGAGAGTCATCAATTAGCGCTTAAATATCACTGATTAAAAACTCTGAAAGAAGGAAACGATAAAAAGAAGCTGTGACACACATGAAATATGAGAATATTTCAATGTTCACTGTCAACGGATGAATTGACAGATGAAATAATGTACTGAAAGGCGACCCACGGGATTTCAGCATTTTTAGAATGTCCCAACTGGTGTCCGGCAAATAAATTTTCTTTGAACCCTTTGCAACTGCGTTCCCCCATTTCAGAAAGAATGCCAGTCATTCTAACCAGCAGACAAGTGCAGCAAGGTGACGGTTCACAGAATTTGACCTTATTGGGCTGAAATACTTGCCTGAGGACCCTTTTAACTTCTGCCAAATTTTATGCCCCAAAATCTTATTGCAAGGGATTTATGCCAGATTCTCGTTTTTGTCCAGTTTTCGAAGCGAATTTTCTGCAGCAAACATACAAATCATTTATATGATTATTTTCTCCTCATGTACAGTGTACATATATATATATATATCACTTTTTGCACCCCACCTCCCAAAACCATGTTTGAACATGATGAATTTCAAAGGTTCATATACCCACTAGCAGAAGCCATATGGCTGTCAAAACTGTATGGTTCTGTTAAGGCACATTAGGAAGATAAAATACAAAAGAGATCCTGGTGACCTTTTATTTTGTTCACGATGCATCGATGTTTTCAAATGTATAAATTTATATGGGTGTTGCTCCTGTCTTGGTCAGTAATACCTGCTCATTCCCTCTTATCACGGCACAATATGTCGTACAAGAGTAGGTAATTACCCTCTTGCAGATATTTTAACCATTAAACTGATGCACTTGTGATTTGTGATATTTGTACAGCGTTGATCAAGACATTTTAATGGTTGAGGATTAAAACGTTTTTCAACCTGCTAGTTGACTCAAGTTTCTACCCTTTGCTCAAGAAAATAAAACACGTGTGTCACCCTTTCTCACTGATAACAGTTAATATTTAGATGCTGTCAAAAACAGACATCGGATAAATAACAAATCTGTCCATATCCGTGAAAGGTCGACAAACAAGGGTACAAATTTGAATATTTAACAACATCATTTTGATATGTTTAGAAATATTTACAGGTAAACAGTGATATAATAATTAATCAACAAACAATACACGTTTAATTTTTTATTTAAATTCATTAAAAGTATCTCTTAGACTGCAGTGTAGTAGAAATTAATATAATTAAAAAATATTTAAATGCAGAAACAAAAGAATTATGAAAATACCAATGTTGATGGTTTAATTCTGTTGAAGGCCAGAAAAAAAGAAGGCAGCATAAAGGAAAGAATTATCCGCGTCCCTGACCATCTCAAGATTGACAGCTTTAGCTTAAGCAACCCCACACCCAGGGTCATAAGACCACCAAGCCATTTCTACCTATAATGTATTTCCAAACAACCCCAATTCATGTCTAATTGTGGACATAGTACCAGAAGTCAAATAATCTGGTGGCCCAAATCAGGATTAACTGGTCCAAGTAAGAATTTCATTAATACTGGATATTTAAGCCTGTTAGATTGAAAATTGATTTTGACAAATATGATTTTTTAATAAGTTGGTGCTTCTAATAGGTCTATAAAACTGTTTGGAATATTGTAGTAGAAATTAATATAATTAAAAAATATTTAAATGCAGAAACAAAAGAATTATGAAAATACCAATGTTGATGGTTTAATTCTGTTGAAGGCCAGAAAAAAAGAAGGCAGCATAAAGGAAAGAATTATCCGCGTCCCTGACCATCTCAAGGTTGACGATGCAGCCACACAAAGGAAAGTTGCCAAGAAGTTGAAAAGACAACAGGTGCCCCAAAGGGCCGTCACTGAGAGGAAAGTAGGTCTGTTCAGTCACCTCCAGCGGTTTGAGAGAGATACATCCCTGACTCAGGCTATACAGTGAGTATAAGCTTGGTTCCAGTGTAGTGACCTGATCAGAGAGGAACCAATTTAGGCTTGAAATCATGCTAACATGTGATGATTTACAAATATATTTATCAGTTTAAGGTGATAGTTTAAAAAAGTCACGATTGAAGAATCTTTACTTTGCCATGAAACTAATTCTACTTACAAGACTACTGAGAGACATTTTTTTCCAGAAATACTAATATCTTTCTTGGGTAAATATAATTGATGAATTCGGTACACAGCTTGAATTTTAAGAGTAATATTATTGTTTTTCTAAATTCTGAAAGTATGTTGCTATCCACCCTGCAATCTTAAAGCTGGGCTTACAGTATGCAGAGGGGTAGTGTGTGGGTCCAATGCAAGGTGTATTGCACTGCTTAATGCCTTCAAACAGGTGGGTAACAATTGGGTCTCTCTTGAACAGTGGTTCACTCTTCACTTTTTATTCTTTTGTAATGTAAAACCTATTATTATCACTATTAGAGATATATTTACTAGTATTAGAAAAAGAAATAAAGCAGATTGAAATATAAAATGTCTCTCTGGTGTATTGGTAAGATCCAAGTGAGATTTTTTCTTGATAATATTTTTTTAATATCTCTAAAGCATGCAATGGTTCTCTTCATTTATTGTTTCCATCCCAGGTATACCAAAAGTGAAAAATCATAACACATCCCTTTTTCACATGTATCCGCTAAATAATAATCCAAAAAGATTTCTATGCATGCATTATGTTTTACAAATTCCACACAGGTTATTAAAAAAGTTCTTATTCTTTTTTTTTTTCAGTTTCTTGGCCCATTGTCGGCCAATTGCTATCAAAGCACTCAATGGCACAGTTTTTTTAAACAGCTTTAGCTTAAGCAACCCCACACCCAGGGTCATAAGACCACCAAGCCATTTCTACCTATAATGTATTTCCAAACAACCCCAATTCATGTCTAATTGTGGACATAGTACCAGAAGTCAAATAATCTGGTGGCCCAAATCAGGATTAACTGGTCCAAGTAAGAATTTCATTAATACTGGATATTTAAGCCTGTTAGATTGAAAATTGATTTTGACAAATATGATTTTTTAATAAGTTGGTGCTTCTAATAGGTCTATAAAACTGTTTGGAATATTTGTCTTTGACTCTTTAAGTTTGGGCATATTCATCTCTCGTGTAATTCAATGTTTCTAATGTCATTCTTTTGTGATTTATATAGTGTGTAGTAGAAATCTTTTACACAACTTAATTTCGCATAAAAAATGAAACTTTGAGGTAATAAATATGGCAGACGCGATTTTAGGTATGGAATTTAAGAGAAAAATTATAGATTTGAATTTTTTTCCTCAGGCCAAAAGAAATTTGATGGAGGTAATTGAAGATAGTTCTAGCTGGAGAAGCAATCTCTCTAACTGCTCTGCAGGAAATCCAAGATGGGGATGTCCTTCTTGTTTTTGGTTGGTAAGTGGTGAAGACTTTTTAAAGCTTTGATTATTTTTTTATACTTTCAGAATAAAATGCTAAGTGGGGGTGTTTATACTAATGGTGATAGTTTTAAAGTGTTTTTGTAATTATGAAACAGATTGCTTCTCTTTTCAGCTCTTCTTTGAACCGGGAGATACTCTGCGACGCACACTCTAAAAGAAGACAGTTTCGTGTTTTCGTCGTTGACAGTCGTCCAAAGTTGGATGGGCGAGTGATGCTCTGTCGTCTCGTTAGACATGACATTAAGTGTCCCTACGTTCTCATCAATACAGCTTCTTATGTTATGCAAGAGGTCAGTGTTCCCCAGGATTTGGGCTACAGGGAGTCCAATATGTGAATCTATTATTTGCTCATTCATTTACACTGAGTCCAACCCAAGCATGCCCAACCAACCAACCACCAAATGTTGTAAGTCATCCAGCCGTCTTTGAAAAGATGTGTTGTTTTTGAGGCAGATGGCTGTCCAAATGTCAACTGGACAGCTCTCTGGGAAAACCTTGTTTCAAACAAAACAACACACAATGTTTTAATCAGCACTATGAACAGCATGTTAACCAGAGCAGTGCACAATAGTCAACTAACACAATATCTCAACTAATACAATGCATAATGTCTCATCTAACACGGTATTCTGTGAAAATATCCTTTGTTAAGAGCGCGTCCATGAGAAAGCCAAACAGATCGGTCAGAAGGCGGCAAGGTGGGGGTCAGCAGATTTTAATAATTTTTGGTGTGGTACACCATCAACATGAAAGATATGGTGAGCCACTGGCTTTCTTATTTTGGATCATTAGTTTTAGAGATATGGGGGAAGGTCTTTTATCCGCATTTTTGCCAAAATATAGCATTTTTTAGCTCTTGAAAAGTTATAATTTTAAATATTATTTTAAAAAATCATGAACATCATAAGGAATTATTTAGGTATGCCATATGATGGGTTAAGGAAAGACCTTTAATACGCAGTACAGATTTTTCGAAAGGGCACTGTCATGACCACACAAGGTTGATTCTAATAAGGCATGTTTTCCGTATGCTTGACCCCCTCCCCTTCTTTAAATGCACACATCTTCTTTTTTGCAGGTTGTATCCATATAATTTTGGTATGTGCTGATAGAAAAGGGTTGCAAAATGAATTCTGTGAAATAAAATCTGTGTTAAACCTTGTAAAATTAGAACTATAACAATTTTAAAAAGGGCCTACAAACGAATATTTTTATACTACTGAAATGCTTATCTGTTTCTTCAACTAAATTAATAATTCAAAACCATGTATAGGTTTGTGAAAAACCTTAAAACAATCATGTTTGCCCTGCAGACAAACTTATGAAGCAAAAATACATTTTTTAAAATTTGTTTATGTTGTAGAAACTAAATGTAAAATAACAATGCTAACTCTGTGACCTATTTTCAACATGGCGGGTACTAGGATTATCACCAGGCGGTGGAAACGCGCTACTTATATGATTAAGACCAGCCTAGCCGTCAGTACCGGATATTGTTTTGTGACCTTGAGGAGCAATTAGGTTTGGTCTTTGCGGCACGCATGAACAGTAGTCGAACTACCACACCTGAGTCTTTTGTTTTTGACAACTGTTCACTCGTCATCGAGGCGCTTGTTCAAGACTACAGGCTGATATGTACTAGTACTACCAGTGGCTTCATTAGTAACGTTCCCACAATACTTAGTTTTCTGTCTGTGCGTACATACCCTGAAAAAAGCCAGCCTCGCTGACGAGAACAATGGACGTTTCTCACCCCTCTCTAGGATTACCCCTGTTAAGACCGGAGCAACTGTGGAGCAAAGCACATCGTCTTTACAGTGTTAAAACATAATGCTTTCTTAATTTTATGAATAACACGCACTAGAGATGCTTAGGTACATCTCAGAAGGATTGGTGTGCACCAGAATATCACAAGAAATGACCATAGCAGCTGGTCGTTAGCAGGGGCGGATTGAGGCTCAGATTTTGAAGTTTAAATTGTCGGGTATCTAATTTTGTCTGTCGGAAGACGGTCAAAAATGTAGGATGGATCAACAAAGAGAATTTGGAAGACTGTCAGGAAATATCTCTGGATCCGCCCCTGTTAGAATGTGCATTTTTTTTTTTAACCACTTCAGACTGTTGTCAGGCTTAGGTTCCTCAATATATCCAGCTCATCGATTTAGCTCTGGATGTTTGTTGTAAGTAAGTGATCATATATATACTATATATTTAATATATATATATATATATATACTATATATATATTAACTAAAAACTCAAACCAGTTTAAATAATAAGTTTGAATATTTTTAAGTAATATAAAGAATATTTAGCAGAATTAAAATATGTTCTGGTATATTTCAATTCATAGAATTTTACTTGATTTCTATTTCATGGTAAATATGTCTGCTGAAGAGAATTAACTGTGTATCTAACTTATCAAGTATATTTGTGCATTAAATTCTAGGGCTTTGTTACATGTGTTATCATAACACAAACAGTTAAGAGACAGCTTGTAGACAGCTTCATTAGAAATTTCTTTCCCAGAATCAAAGGTATGTAACACACATTCAGTTTCACATTCAGTTTTGGCATTTTAGGGGATGTTACTTGTGCCAGTTTTTTATATTTTAGTTTCATATGCAGATTTATGTGTGTTTACAATGAAGTTGAAGTTAACCACTTAGCTTTATGTGACTTTGTAACACACTGTGCTTCAATTTTCAAGACTTACACAGAACACTTGTACAACTAAAAGTACTTTAGTAAAATCAGGAAGACTTTGCGGTCCATTATGTTGTTCATGTTGCTTTGCAAGGGAGTGTGCCAGACAATTAAGCTGATTACAATGACTGAGCCTGAGTGTGATACTCCGCTGAGATAGATTGATCCTGCTACAGTAGTTTCTATTCTGAACACAGTAAGCCTCTGTTGTTGTAAAACATTTATTGATGTTATGTTTATTTTTCAGATTTTACATCCTAGGCCTGGATGTTAACCTTGACATGGACAATCTTACAGATAATAATAGAAGAGTCACCTGAAATTGCACAGGCAAATTCATCAGATTCAGATGTGAGCACCAACTCTGTCTTTCTATCATGGAATTCTGGATTTCAAATTGGATTTCCATTGGATTGACAAATATTGACAATTGACAGTTCAGTCACACTAAACTATAGTGGCATGTTGCTTCAAGTTACCACACTTTTTCTAAGATTGCTGAATTATCATTACTGTCTAAGGAGACCCTAGATCTCTCAACCAGAAGAAGAAACTTGGGGATCAATCAGTTATAAGATTAAAATCTCTGGAACACTACCCATCACTGTTGTGTTCAGTATATGGAAAAGATGACCGTGATATTGGAACCTTGGAGATTCATAACTTGATTTCACTCCTGTGAAAAGTAACTGCTTTGTTCTTTTACTGTCCAATTGATAATATGAAAATAAAGTACTCCTCCTGTCATTGTATGTTGCTGACTCTGTTTTAATTTTCTTTATAGAAAAAGAATATAGATATCAAGATATCACATGTATTTACAAAACCTATGAATCATTTGAAAGGAAAAAGAATGGTTGAAAAATGCAATATAAATCATTTCAAGTGGATTAATTAGTGTTGCACTTGAGAAAATGATAAAATGAGACAGTCATTCCCTTTTACCTTTAGAAAAATCCTTTGTAATTTTTTTTTTTATTTTTCTCTATTGCTCCCTGAAAATAAGGTATATACACAATGCTGATGACATTGGATATCCACAGTAATGACTCATTAAACTGGGGGGGAGGGGGGTTGAATAACTTGTCACTAATAATTTAAATTTATTCAGAAGTTGTATGGCTCTGTTTGAAAAGAATATTATCTGAGCAACCCTGTATTACAGATCTCAAAATAAAAAAACCTGCAAATATGGGCCTCTTGATTATTTTGAGGCATTATGGTAACTGTATTTTGGGACAGAATTGATGGCAGCCATCTTGTATTTATAAAAATTGGATAGATTTGCCCTTATCAAAGCATTGTTTGAATTCCTGGCTGTGAGTCTTTGATTAAATTTGATTATTGGAAGGTATTATCTCAAAATGTACTGATATCTTGATTTCGGTCGTTTGGTTTTCTGCTAAAATTGCTTATGTTTGAGGCACTTTTTCAATATCTTCTGTTGTGTTTAACACACTTTTTAAAATTTATATGATGAGACCAATGTATGCTCAGGATCCCTATACAATATTATGGCTGTCAACCTTGCAAAAAGAGAGATATGAATGCATGAACATTGCTTGGTAGAAAAGTGAGTTTGGGGGGTGGGGTTATGAAAATGGGCGTGGCTCGTTAGTTTGTGGGTTAAACTGAAATTTTAATTTACTTAAAAGTAACATATTCTCAATGGCAAATGGCTGCTTTAAATAGGTAAATTATCAATTTATTTTAAAAAGTCATCAGTTTTGACATATTTGCTAATGAAGTGGCTTTATTGATCGAAGCTGAAAATCAAGCCAAAAATGGCCAAAACATTTAATATTATATTATAATTATATCCAATGATTTCTTTGGGGATTGTTGCCTTCAATGTGAATATCTCCTATGTATGCAACTATATTATGAATTTAGTTGAAATCTGTTGACCCCCACCTTGCCACCCTCTGACTGGTCTTATCATGGACACACACTTAACCTGTAGCATGTACACTGGCTCATCAAACACGACATCTTGGGACAATACAGTAATTATTTTATCTGTTTCAGTAAAGTGTATTATGTCTTTGTTGAGGGGATGGTCATGGTTTGCCTTTGTACATTTAAATGTCTCACCTAGCACACTATACAATGTTTTGTCTCAACCAACGCGGTTCACACTGTCTTCTCAAAGAAAATGACCATATCACATCTAGCACAGTGTGTTTTGTCTGACTTGACAATTCACTTTCAAGTACATATTTTATTTTATGTAATAGACAAAATAACACTATGATTCATTAAATTTATTCCAGGCTACGAAAGTCTTCTTAGGTGCTCACGCTTTGTTAGCTAATGGTTACGTCATGTCCAGAGTGGGGACTTTCAAGATCTCACTCCTGGCTAAGGCGTATGATGTGCCAGTCCTGGTGTGTTGTGAGACCTACAAGTTCTGTGTGAGAGTAAAGACAGATTCTTTTGTTGCTAATGAATTAGGTGAGTTTTTTTTTTCTTGTCGACTTCACAGCAGTGGACTTGAGGGATTATTGCACAATCCCCGCGGTGAATCTATTCAGTGTCTATCAGTGGATGAGGTGGCACGCTTTTAAGTAGGTCGACCATATTAGATCCATGGATCTATTAGTCCACTATTAGTCAATTTGTTCTAAATGTGGCCTCTCTCTCTCTCTCTCTCTCTCTCTCTCTCTCTCTCTCATCACGGTGTTTAACGATGCTCAGCAGACTGTAGCATAACCATCAACAGAAGACGAACAAAACAGCCACCAAAAATCAAACATGGTCTGTTTCTTTAAGATAGGCTAGAAATTTAACATACTTTTATCACACTCCAGGAGACCCTGGTGACTTGGTAAAGACTCACAAAAATGAAACCTACTTGGACAACTGGAAACAGTGCAAGAACCTCAACCTCCTGAAGCTGGTCTATGACGCCACACCAGATTTTTTTTCCCATGGTGATTACCTATCTATCCCAATGGGGATTGAGGGAGGGGGTGGGGAGAGGACACAACGAAGCTCATGAATCATATTTTGTAAAAGTGGCATACTGGAATGTATTTTCCTTGGGTGTGGTGTAGAAGCAGTCGCTGCCCCCTTCAACCCTCTGCCCCCTACATGGTATCTTTTATCCAGATTGGTATCATTTTGATGAAATGACTGTTTAAGAAGATATAGATGATGGTTGATAATAAATTTGTGCCACTTCTTAAGATATTTAATTGGTTTGTATTCTAACAAATGCATTTATGTACAACAATCATGGAAAAGAAACCTAAAGTGATTGAAGATCCTGTTGTCATTTTCTAACTTCAATCTAAATTTAAAAGTCTAATATCCTTGAACATAAACAACACTGATAAGGTATTTTATCCCTTGAGAGGGTAACCAGTGTCTGTTTCAAAAGAGGAAAGAGAGAAAAGGGAAGTTCAAAAGTGAATGAATGTAAAAATGAGTCTCAGGCCAACCTGACAAGTACCCTCCACGCTGTTTTTGTTTCTAGGCTGATAATCAGTGCAGATATAGAGACATTTTCCACATTAACACACTGTATCTTTTGACCAGATGGAAGCAATTAAAATGCACGCGTGCAGATAGCATTGTACCTGCTCCGTAGGTAAGTACTACGGGGGATTCCTCAGTTAACTTCAAGCTGAAGTAACAAGCTATTCAGAAGGGGTTAATTTTATCCGTCGCAAAAGAGCAGGTGGTAAGACTCAGAGAAACTAACTGTCTTGATCCCTTTGAAGGGGACTTGCCTTGGGCGTGGCATCGATTACCCATGTTAGATTGTTCAGGTTGATAGTTTTTTAATATATTTTTATCGATTGTCTGTCCGTGTTGTCGCCTTTGCTGTTCAACACATGTCGTTCACCCATAACTGCCAAACCGTATTTTTGTTTTACTTTGAATTTACTGATTGTCTTTGTTTGGTAAAGATGCAGGTTTCTTTCCCAAGGTATTTTATTGGATGATTTTTTTCTTTCTTTCCTTCTGTTATGATGCTTCTAAACTCGATAATACAAGTTCGGGATCCAGAGAAGTAACGTAAAGGACACAAAACTTAACATCATTGTTTCAGAAAACGTCCGGGTTTTAATCTGCTTCTCCCCACAGGTTATCGTACTATTTATTTATTGTTCCAAATCATTGGATAACCTGTTATTTTCTTTGCAATAAAAACACCAGTACAAATTACATCTCATCTCTGCTTCTCTAGGCGCGTATAGTTAGGGGGAGAGTTTAGGAAACAAACACGCCAATGACACAAGCAAATTAAGTACCCAAGGCACTTGAAGGGCGCTTCCCCTGCTACTAACAAACGTGCCGTTTCCAGATGTAGAAGTAGCCGTCAATTCTGCGTCAGAGACGTTCCCGAATGCGCGATTAGACACGACGCTTGCATCAAACGGTTTGTTGCCAATGGACAGTTGGCTGCCAATGTCTTCGATGTAAGCCGAGACTCGATCTTCAAACCGTTCAAACCAACGCAGGCCGTCAGGGATGCGGGGAACAGGTTTCGCCAGTTTAAATGGTACACGAACAAGGGTGTAGTCTCCATGGAACGACGGGTTGCCGCATCCTGTTGGTAGGCCTAAGGCATAACCATACGTCCATTCGTGTAAGGGGTCGATGTAAAGCGAGGACTGGGTCGTGAATAATCTGATCGAGATGCAGTCATTGAACAAGACAACCCAGTCTTGCCAGCTTTGTTTTGGGGTAAGTTTCAGGGTCATAATGAACTGCATGTTGACGAGGCCGGTCAGGGGTAACAAACATCCCGGGTCATTCTCTTGGCATGAATGCTGTTGACACGATTTCTAAAAACAAATTAAAAAAATGTGAATCAAAGAGACAACGTCAGCAGTTTAAAAACAAACAATAAAAATGCTAGGGTAGGTCTAACGACACACTATTTTGTATAAATAGTCTTTCTACAGTAATAATTATTCGCTATTTTGAAGAGACCGTTTAATTTCGCTTATAGGCCTACACCTGTATCTTCCTCGCCTTCTGATTTGTGCTCCTCGTTTTTTGTTACCCGTTCTACTCTTTTTAAGATTTTTTTACTTAACTGCTGTCCATCAGAAAAGCGAAATCAAATCAATTTTAGGGAGGCAGTAGCTATCTACGTTGTCAAAAGCATCGCAGGGAAATCGTATGCGATTTCATCGTACCGCTCCCGTGCCAAATGTAATTTAGGTTTCTGTCAGGAAGCGGTAAAATTATTGTTTTTATTATTTTTTTTTTATTGTTGTATTTTGGTCATTCATTACATTAAATGCTTTAAATATTTTCATAGATTATTGTCCAAAAATCGTTGATAAAATTCTTTTGTTTGGCGACTTACTTAACCTAAGCTAAAATCAGGCAGCATAATGCCTGCGACTTACTAAGACCGGGCTCAGACAAACCCATCGTACTAGCTGGATCGATCCAAATCTGCTGCAGATTTTCACTAAACTGCATTTATTGTAATCAGCTTAATTATCTGACATGCCTCCGAGCGCCAGGCGCCGCTGCCGAAAGTTAATTAGCACCAAGATTTCCAAACACCTTTATTCCCACTGCCTATGTCCTCCCTTAGTCTACCCACCACCAGTCCTGTTTATACCCTTCTCTCCATTAAAATATTGCCTATTAATTACAAACTTCAGGTCTTATCAACTCCCACGAGACATCCTAAAGGCAAGCCAGTGGGTCCCTTACAGCACGAAAGGGCCGCCTGACCCACTGAAGACATGGGTCTCATCTGCATCCAAAGGACGTTTGCGATCGAACGGCATACATTTTAAGGCATAGGCCTACATTGTGTGATAGACCTTTATGTTGGTTAAAAAAATCTAGGCAGTTTTTGCGGTTTTTTCCTTACATCACAATGGCCACATTCATAATGGATGATCCGAGTACTTACTGATCCGCCGACTAAACACAGCCGACCCCACTTTAAAGGCGATGCCGCTGATTCCCGATGGTCACCCAGCCTCCACACGCGCCATTAAACAGATTAAATCTCGGCTCCGAGCTTTAATTGCTGGGCCCCTGCATCGACTGAGAGTGTGGAGGCGGGGAGACTACCATGGAATTAGCGGCATCGCTTTTGAAGAGGGGTCGGCCATATTTAAAACGCGTTTAATGACTGTAATTCTGTATTGAAATTTCCATGAAAATTCAATATTTGCTTTGTTAAGGGATAGATTATATAGATTATATATAGATTATATAGATCTATTATATTTAATAGAAAGTGTTAAAGAATAGATAACAACTTTTCTATGAAATAACAATAAATACAATGTAGACAACACATGAAAATACAGCAAATTCTATTTAACCACCAAAACGGTTATCGCAATTATTCTGAAACCTGTGCTTGCCGTCGGACCACTTGGACCTGTATGCATGGTTACCTTCCTTAATAGATAATTTTGTTTCTAAAAAATCACACTTTAAAGAAAAAAAAATGTAATCGACTAACTTTGAATGTCGAAAGTAATTCATTAAAATTGAAAAGTATGTGAAAATCGCCGTTTACCCCAGAAAAATTGGTTTTAAGGCAATTTTTTCCTTTCTCTGCCAAATAAAGAGTTGTTATCCCTTTTAACAACTTGGGTATATTAAAACATTATTTCAAACGTTCCATGCTTACGTCGTGCATATTTTCTTGACATTGCATTTCTTTCTGGAAGTCTATGACAGCGGAGAAACCAGGTGAATCGAATATCTTGAGATCATTTGTCTCTGAAAGAAGAACATGCTGTTAGGGTTCATTCCCGATGACACTATCGGTCTACGGAGATCGATGCAACTTCGCAGGGACTCTCACTGAATGCAACGAAATTTAAATATTTACACTCCTCCTGTTGCTTCCGACGTGCTAGTATAATCACCATTATTTTCTGTATAATACTCAGGAAGAGGCGTGTGATCTCTAAACTGATTGCATTCATCGAGAATCCCTGCGTAGTTGGATCGATCTAGGTAGACTGACACTTTCAATATGAACGAGCCTTCAGATACTCACAAAGACTCAGATATGCTTCTTCTACGGATCTCCAAACAACAAAACAATGTTTTATGAAGGCAACGTTTCGTACTTCTTTAATTATAATAAAAACAGAAAAAAAATCATAAACGCGAATTTAGTCTCCCTTTCCCTTTAAGTAGACTTAAAATACACAGGTAAAAAATTGTTATTGATTTTACGACTAAATGGATCATTTCATGCAGTTTCAAGAGCATTTTTATAATTTTAGACACACCAAAATTCTAACATAAAACAAATATTTACCCCAACCCCCACCCCGTTGAAAGTTAAGGCAAATTGTGTATCTTTAACGACATACCGTGTTCATCGCATTCTTGAATTTCTACCCCTATCGCAATGGACGCTTGACACAGCCAACAGAAAACGTTTCTTCCAAAACCGTATCCCAAAAGAGTCTGGTAATATGTTATGGACACAGGCTTCGTCTGGCAAAGAGTGACTAGGTCTTGTTCAGCGTAAAAACTACATCGGTTGTCTTCTAGGCCTCTCACGGGGTCGTGACTCCCCCCTGGACCGATGCAAGGACGCCCTGGATAACGCTCCGGGGGTTCAAATAGCACCATACAATCGGGCAACGAGACTACCTTTTCCAGAATTCCCGACGAAGTTGTTGCATTCACAAACGTTTCGAATTGGGTTTCCTCGCAGACCATTTTCGGCGTCCATGCTTGGAAATTCACGACGCCATGACAGGCGGCACAATAGATATTCTTAAAAGTGATATTGTACTCTTTTGACGAGACAGGTAGAAGAACATCCATTTTGCTAGAGAGGCCGTTAAACTCACACTTCGCCCTAACTGCTGCGTCGGCCCATTGCTGCGGACATGACTTAACGACCCAGTAGTACTTGCTGTGAACGTCCAAAATGTCTCTAGTGCCCTGTAACCAACACTCCGTGTGATTTGGCTCAATCGAAACCACTGTTGGCTTAATGTCTCTGCAGTAACGATCGAGTGGCCAGCAACAATCACCAAA